AAGCTTCCCCTTTATTAAATTCTTCTGAATATTATTGCATTTATCAAAATACATCAAAGAAATTAATTATATTTCTAATTAAAGTCTCACAAACCTCGTAGCAAAAGACTTTACTTTTCCTGTAATGATATAGTTTTACTAAATGCATTTATTTAAGAATAATATCTTAATAAACAAAACTTGGAAATTTTATTAGCAAGGAATAAGATTGTTTAACAAAGCTTGCCTTTAATAAGTTATTCAGAATATTTATTGCATTTAACAAAATACATCAAAGAAATTAATTATATTTTTAATTGAAGTTTTACAATCTTCGTAGTAAAAGACTTTACTTTTCCTGAGGTGTTTCAGTTTCACTAGATGCATTTATTTTAGAATAATAATTTTACTTTCTTTTCCAATAAGCGCTTTTTTCAAAAAATCTTGAAAAAAATGTAAGTTAGGAATAAAACCGTATGTTACAGTTTGCCCTTTAATAAATTATACAGTATGTTATTGTATTCATCAAAATACATCAAAGAAGTTAATTATATTTAATTAAAGTTCTAGAAACTTTGTAGTAACAGACTTTTTAACAGTGTTTTTAGCTTCACAATAATTGTGTCTAATTGCAAGTACTTGTGTAGAAAAGATAGTTCAGTGCATTTATTTATTAAGGTATATAAATTTTTCACATTCGGGAAATATGTGATAATTATTAAATGAGCTAATGGAAATTTGTATGATTGGAAATGTGAATATAATTTTTTTGATATAATTAATTAATGGTATCATGCATAAGAAGTCCACAAAATATTACTCATCCCGACTGTATTTTATCTATCATTCAGTTATAATTCTTTCATTGTGCTTACGTTTTGGTCTCAAGGTTTTACCAGTGACTATATAAATATATCTGGCATTATAATACGAGCGCTAATCGAATTCTCAGATAAGGGTATGTGAGGTCGCGACAAATGGACTATTATTTATAATTATTTTTCTGCGCGATTGTGTTGTCTGGCAACGTTGCATTTTCAATGTTGTAACATCCTTTCATTGTTGAATCTAATCGGCTAAGGCGTCTGTTATTGTCACATTTTTGCGATCTTGGGAATTAAATTTTATAAATATTTTGAAAGAATTTTATGAATATTTTTAACGTATTTCCGAGATATAAATTTGTGCTGGGGTGCTGAGTTTGCATATGCATTGCATTTTGCATTTACCTAACATAAGAACTCGGAAAAGTCTCTGTATGAACGACTACTGTGGTGGTATTTATAGAAGTCGTTCAGTTGGAGTTGGAATGTAATATAATACAATATTTGTAAATATTTGAACCAAAGGAAGTACTTTAAATATTTATTGGTGTGCGCTTTCCTTGTTAATTCTTAATATAACATATAAAGATTGAAAATTTATTGTTACAACCTAATAAAATTTGAGCCAGTATATTTCAGTTTAACCATTGTAATGATAAAAAATGATGTAGTCAAATATATACAAACTATTATTTATATTAATTCATTGGTCAAAATAATTCTTGATTATATGTATATATATATATTATATATATAAAAATAAATAAATAAATAATTTATTAAAAAACTTATTTTGTTTTTTATTACTTTTTGGTTTCTTGTTCGAAACTCTACAAAATATACACAAATCTAAGACTCTACCAATATATATATATATATATATATATATATATATATATATATATCATATAATATTATATATATATATATATATATATATATATCTTGATAGTTTTTTCGACGTTGAAACATATTTCAAAGTAACTAGCAGCCCATTCGTCGAAATAAAAAAGGTAATAAAGTATAAAAACTTTTATTTATACGTTTCGACACAAGATGCGTGTCATCATTCAGCAACTACAACAATTGAAAATTTTATTAACTAATATAAACACAATAAAAATTAATTAAAGCATAGAGAACATTATACATACCACAGGACAAAAACACTAACAAAAATTTATTTTAAAAAATTAAACTTAATAACAATTAGAAAAAAACATTTTTTAGAAAAAATTATGTATAACTAAAAGATTTGAAAACTAATTTTACTAAAATGTATTTCATAACTTTTAGTTAAATTAGTTTTCAAATCTTTTAGTTATACATAATTTTTCTAAAAAATGTTTTTTTCTAATTGTTATTAAGTTTAATTTTTAAAATAAATTTTGTTGAGTGTTTTTGTCCTGTGGTATGTATAATGTTTCTCTATGCTTTAATTATTTTATTGTTGTTTATATTAGTTAATAAAATTTTCAAATTGTTGTAGTTGCTGAATGATGACACGCATCTTGTGTCGTCGAAACGTATAAATAAAAGTTTTTATACTTTATTACCTTTTTATTTCGACGAATGGGCTGCTAGTTACTTTGATATATATATATATATATATATAATATATATATATTATAATGCCAGATATATATATATATATATATTATTTTGTATCTTTTATAAATCTTATTTATGGATGAGCTTAATTATTCTGTTTGTTTTGTCTGCTGTATGATTGTTTTAATTAAAATTTGTTATTTCAAAGTTCAATCGAAATATGTGTCGTAAAATTTCCATATTTGAACAGTTGATCAAAACCCACATTGCGTTAATGTTCTGATGTTCTATTATATATTTTTAATTGATGTAACAAAGACGATCTTCATCAAATTATACAACAATTTACATTTATATTGCAAAAAATACTATTTTCTATTTTTAATAAATTAATTGCGTAGATTACACGCTATTTACAATGACCTCATTCTAATCCTATTATTGCTGTGCATATGATATTTGATTAGAGTTCATTTTTCTCATGACTCATTCTCCTACTGTTTTATGAATCACAGACATATCGCAATTGTGTTGTTTTCTTGCGGAAAAATTTTCATAGAAAATGAAACAAAACGTTACATCTCATTTTTATAGTATATTGAATCATCAATATACTCATTTCCAACTTGGTAAGTTACTTCTGAAAATACACCGATTGATTTTTGGTGATATGAGTAGATATTTTAGAATTGAAATTAGAAAACAGTTAATTTTTGAAATATGATAAACATACATTAATTATTTCAAAGAATGATGATCTTCATCAAGATATGTCAAAACAATTGATAATTGATTGTAATCATATGCAAGAAAATAAGGCAAGAATATTCGCTTCCTACTTCGATTTAATGTTTCATTCAAATATTCTAGTTATTTTTATCAATTTATAGTCATATGGCAATATAATACCACAAACATGTTTTACAAAATGCATATAATGGCATTGAAAATTTTGAAAATAAGTTATCAGAGCGTGCAAAATAAACACCGCTTATAATACTATGAATAGATTATTATTGACTATACGCATGTTCTAGATAAAGCTGATGTTTTCCAACAAACTAATAAAAAAAATTTTATACACATCCAACGATTTTCAAATATATTTCTTGCGGTCGAAATATAGTATCTATTACAAACCCTCTATACTCACGAACTCTTAAGCTTTATATTTCGTGCAAGAGGCAGTTTATAATAGATAGTTTGAAGGTTTTACTTTTTACAAGTTTTGTGGACAAAGTAGACGGTCATAAACCTCGAGTCACGGATAGGTTTATCGATTTGCAATAAACTTTACGGCATAGCTCCCGGATGGGTTTTTCGGCAATGCGTGGATCAAAAGTTCAATTTCGTTTAGGCCCTGTTGCTATGTGCTATTTACTTTTCAAGGAAAAGGAACTCTGTTTCTATTTGTATCTATTATAGGGGATTCAACTAACACGATATTTTCATTATTTAATTCAATTCGTAGTACATATACAAATTTATCTAGGCTTATCGCTTATTTATAGAATTTAATTAAATATAAATAAAAATATATATAAATATATATGTATATATATATGTATATAGGTATATATGTATATATGTTATTATATATATATATTGGGGTGGTCCTTAAAATAATCATTTTTTCGAAATTTTTGCTCCCAGGGGCTCCAAATGGTTCCAAATAGTTGCAAATAGCTATAAAATACTGTAATGGCGAAATTCGAGTTCCTTCGCAAAAATTGTATTCTAAAATTTTTGGTTCCACTTTTTTAAATTTTTTTTATTTCTTGTACGATGATGTGTTCTGTTTCATTTTTATCTGGGCATATAAGCAACACGTTCGGTCAAGTCCGCAAATTTAACACAAATAAAATCCAAAGAAACAATTTCAAACGATTTAATTTTTGGTTTTAGTCGCTAAATTGGAAAACAAACGTTACAAACGTTATATACAAACTGCAGTTTTAATTTTTTTCAGATGCTGCAAATATTTATATGAACAGTTTGTCTTATTGGTTTATGGTGTATTTTAATTTAAGGGGGTATTCTAGTGATAGAACGATGAATTTTAGGTCATTTTCAAAGTGTCGTAAAAAAAAGCAATGAATGTTTTTACTATCCATTTTTACCACTTGTTTATTAATTTTATTAAATACAAAACAAAAATTAAAAAATAAAAAAGTTGAAAATTGTAACAACTGGCAGCTGATGAAGTGGGCGGTCTCAAAAAATTGGCACCTCAGTCTTGACATGATTTCAGCTCTCCTAGCCATCGGAAATGCAAAAATAAGAAGATTATAATCTACAATGATGTCGTCGTAATCGGCCCGAACTAGCGATGAGTAAAAAAAATTTCTTTTACCCATCGCTAAAAAACTATTTTTTTTTGAGTTCTCGAATTTTTTAAAAATAGTAAAAATTGGAATTTGGGGATAATCTATAGTTCGGGCTATAGATAGGTCTATAACCAGACTCTCTAACATTTCAAGTGATCGGTCGATTAAAACTCGAGAAATTCGTGTCAACAGTACTGCTGAAAACGTCTGTTCTGAGAAAAACGCATTTAAAGTTTTGCGTGAAGCCAAACCAGTATGGAGACCGAGTCAGTAAAAGCCTATATCTCCGAAAATAATCAAATTTTCAAAAACCTTCTCGCACCCATCTCTTCCTTCATCATGGGATTCGAGTGCGCTGGTGAAATCGTTCAAGTTGGAGAAGGCGTTGAAGATTTGAAGGTCTGTATAAATGGTTATTGGCTCTATATGCTTTATTTAAATTCTTACAATATTGAAAATTATACCATTTCGTGAGCAAATACCATTCAAAGTTATATCTAATATTTATAACTGAAAATATGTTCAATATATTGAATACCTGATAGGATATACGAAATATAACTACGGTTATTTGTAGTTTAAAGTTTAATTCACAATTATCAAACTTCATTATTATCATGCGCAACAAAATAGACAAGATTTCCTCTAACCTAAGTTTTCATCCTTTATGAGAACCCTTGAAAACTTTTCTTATGAAATCATCATAAATTATTCATGTTATAGAGTCAAACTTATGTAGTACTGCATTCATCAAAAATGCTTTCCAAGATATAAAGACTTTTCTTATGAATAAATATAGTGAAATTCAATGTCAGTTTTTTATTTTGCTTCAACTTTATGGATTATTTCCCATTATTTGATGATCGTTAAAATTTTTCAAGAAGTTAGCGTTCAAAGATATGTTTTATTTTTATAAACTCGATATATTTTATTAACTCCTTATTCTTTTCTAATAGTGATATTTTATACTAATATTTTTCAGGTCGGCGACAATGTGTTGGCTTTACCGGAGTTCCGAGCATGGGCCGAATTGGTTTCCGTGCCTCGCAATCTGGTCTATCGTCTTCCGGAAGGTATGACACACGTGCAGGCTGTTTCCGTAGCGATGAACTTTTTAGTAGCGCATTGTGTCGTCCATGAAATGGCCCGCATTGCTCCTGGACAAAGCGTGCTTTTACATAGCGCCGGAGGGGCAGTGGTGAGTTGCATGTTTAATTTATGTGATACAATGAATTAATGATTTGTCTGTAGTTTGCTACAATTTCTAAGGTTTTTACGTACATCAATGTATGTGAAAATTGTACCAAAAAGTATGATAATAATAAATGGTAGTTTGCACGAGGTCCATAGTGGAAGAGCACCACAAAGCAATGGTTCCTTTTCATCTCTTGTTTCTTGGTAATTTTATTACCATTTTATTACCATTAGTCACTTATTTATTCACTTTTCCACATTTATGCTTCTTGGAGTTGAGCTTCGACTTTCAGTCCCTGTATTTTCTCTTCTCGCAAAAGTCATCAGTCACATGCATTGTTTTTCTTCCCAATCATTTAAGTCCATGTATTTTTCCTTCGACGACGTTGTGTCAAAAATACTTTTCGTGCATGATGAATGCAGGAATAGTGCAGAAATGAATCTGATCCAGTTTCCTTTCTTGTTAATTATTGTGCTCAGTGGATATCTTTGTTCGCCCCCTTACCTTATCTGTCCATTTTTCTTCTTCATTCGTCATATGCATTGTTTTTCATGTCATATGCATTGTTAGTCCATGTATTTTTCTTCGACGACATTGTATCAAAAACACTTTTTGTGCAGGATGAATGCAGGAATAGTGCAGGAATGGATAAAATAAAATAAAACGTACTTTTCAAAAACCATAATTCAAATTAATTGCTTGCTTAATTATATTATACGCGCAACTTTTGGCACATTTTCTTCCTTCTGGCCCGTTTGTACCACCAAAGAGAGCATCTCATATTTCCTTTTTCGCTTTGGGTTTTCCGCATGGCCTAATTTAACTCAATATATGACCCCAAAGATTAAATAACGTGTAAACCTCCATCCATTACACGCTTTTCGGCGGATCTCCCCTTATATTTTTGCTTTATGTGCTATGTCGGTGTCTCTTCATATTTTTTTCATCAACACCATACTACCAAACTTCAAAAACAGTCGGGCGTTGAAAACAACCAGCAATTTCATTTGAATTTCGCTCATTTTATATGAAATTCACGTAATATATACGAAATATGTTACAGTGTAATATAATGAAATTGAAATAATTTTAAATCAACTTTTGGAGTAAACTATTTTCGGGGGATCACTTTGTTAGTTATTTCTACCATATTGATGAACATATTCCAAGTGAACTTGTGATTTAATTCCATTATGCTTATACATCCGGCATTCAATACATATAAACACCCACCCTTACGATAGACATTAAACAAAAGGGGTCGTAATATACTATCATAATTGCACCATTATTACTCGGAGCAACCTTTAGGGCAGACTATTACTTCGGCTTGGAAGCACGTAGTCTTCTCCCTCCACTTTCCTCAGATTAGTTTTCATTATAAACTATTATTTGGAGTAATGTATGTGTTGAGCGAACTAGTATATGATCACATATGGTTTTCTCTGGTTTTGGTACTAATGGAATTAAGTAAATAGTTGTTAATTTGTAGAAATATTCAGACACCATTTTAATATAATTTAATGTTTGAAATAAAATCAATAAACTATACTAAACAATAATTATTTATGAAGAAATAAAATAAACTAGTTTTGAGCGGAATTTTGTCTTGTGGCAAGTTGCATAAACTTTCCGGTATGTGTAAATAACACAGGCCAACAAAGAAAATGGCGCAAACGATTTTAATGCTGTTTTTAGGTATATTTGGGGCGCTGATTTCAAAAATGATATTGTTTTTTTTTCTATGAGCCGTAGTTTTCAAGATATGATATATATGATATATAAGGAATGAAAGTACAAAATAGTAATACAATTCAGAATTTTATTTTAATGAGATATGTCTACTCGTACATACAAACTCACAAGACCCATTTGGCCTTAGTTGGGACATTAGTTGACACTGTGAAAAGCTCTTTTCCGTTCCTAGAATGCACCTGGTTTCTGCAACTTCTTTCCAAGTTCCAAACTAGAGCTGATACAAAAAAATGGTTTGCAGATTTGAAATCAGCGCAATAAATACTATAAAAATTAGCTCTAACATTTGATGCACCAAAGAAACAAAAATTTTGTAGGCCTGTGTAATCAATTTAATCAAAAATAATTTTTAATTTATATGTGATCTACCTGTTTATCTGCCTACTTGCTAACTTGCTTACCAGCGAGTTTGTCTATCAGTTTATCAGTCTACTAATCTATCTGCCAGGCACCTTGTCTATTTGTCCTTGTCCAGCCCTCTACCAGTTATAACTGCCAAAATTTTTACAGGTTCTTCCAACTTCACGTTCCTTTCTTGTTACTTCTCTACCTGTTTACCTGTCCACATGTATATTTGCCTACCTATTTACCAATAATTCATATTTGTATATGCATCAATAATAATGATTTGTGAAGATCATCTTTGACCAACAAAAGTCAATTTTTGCAATTTTTCTGCTTCTCCAAAACCGCTGGATCTTTCGTCGCAATCAATTAATTTAATCATTCCGCCGACACAAATAAAATACTTTTTGAATCATTCAAATCGGATGCTCCGTTTTCTCGAAAATTCATTTTTATTGTCGTTTATCTCCCAAACGGATGAATCTGTCTTTGGCAAAAACTAATCCCAACAACAGGAATCGGAGGTTAGGGTTCCCATCAATAGGAATCGAAGGTTTTTTGAATCATTCCAATTAGTTGATTATTGCTCTTATTCACCCATCTTCAGTTAATGATAATAATTTTTCCTACTTGCTAGTCCAAATTTGCCATTTCAACATTTAAATCTTTAAGTAAAACTTTTTTTTTTAAATTTTTTATAGCATCGTTTCACGACCGTATTTTTTGAATAACAATAAAAATGTTCGACTTGGAGGCAATTGTATTCTATTAATATTATTTTTTTCCATTCAAACATGGTTCTATGATTCAATAGATCTTTTTTCTCAATTTGTCGTTTCTATAGTACCCCAGTAATAGCGTATATTGTACGATTGAACGACAAACGCTTAATATTTGCATTTAATGAAACACCCGCATTTATAGATTGCACTCGACAACATTTATTCCGTGTACACTCACGCACGCTTCGCTGCGGACTCGGAGTGCTCTCTGGAGAGAGTATAAATTCGTTTAATTATACTATAAAAGCAAATCAAAGGTAGAGTTTTTAGAATTTGATTAGAAATGAAATATATAGCGTGTACAGCTGGCCAAAATATGGGTGAAGTAATAAAAGTATTGCTGAATTTTGCTACCATTGACGTGATTCGATATTTTATGTCCAGTTTACGAGATGTAAAATTATGTCCTATGAAAATGTTTGAACGTGATTTAATAATAGCTATGCTATTCATAATACCATGTCGAGTGACAAAAGTTTTAACAATTTAATTTTCTCTAAATTTTTATGTAATATTTTATGTAATGGTTTTCGATGTTGAGCTTTAAATTTTTTTAAGTAAAACTTCTTCAGGCGTGCCTAGGGTGTAAATCCGTACAAATGCATCGGAAGTGCGTTACGGCAGATAAGAGTCGATAAGAATCGAGTGCCAATGATTCGTCATTCGCATTCGATGATATCATTTCTATACGGGTCGATTGTGATTAGTCGTCGTGTATGTGAATAGAGATCTGTCGTTGTATGCGGAACGGCATCAGCGTTGTATGCGATACCAACAAGGAAATCGGCATAGATAAATAATCAGAGCAATATCGTTTTTTGCGTTATATCTGCAATCAAATTAATTCATTTTCTTCCATATTTTATTATTTATATTTTTAGACGACGATCAGCTATCAGTAAGTTTGTAATTAGGCATCATATAAACAGGTGAACAGATAGATCACAACATATCGGGAAGTTTATGCAACTTGTTACCAGGCAAAATGTCGCTTAGAACTAGTTGATTTTATTTATGTTAGTTCATTGATTTTATTTCATATATTACATTGTATTAAAATGGCGGCTAGTTACATAATTTCTATAAATTAATAACTATTTACTTAATAAATGCTTAATTCCATCAGTACCAAAAACAGAAAAAACCATCAATTTGTGATCATGTACGCTCAACACATACATGATCATACAAATTCTATGAAATTTCAAGAAGGGACTGGATCAGTTCACTCTTTTATTACAATGTTTTGGAGACTTTTTTTTATCTCTTACTTTTTATTGAAAACTAGCTGCACCCGTTCACGTTTTTACGTAAATTAGTTTAAATTAAAAAGTTGAACAAAGATTTGTTTGTTACTTGTTGATTAGTTTAGTTTAACGTAAATACTATCTGTTCAACAATTTACCTATTCAACAATTTGTCTACTAATTTACCTATCAACTTGTTAATCAATCTACCATTTTACCAGCTTACCAATTTACCTGTCAACCTGTTTATCCGTTTCGTTATTTGTCTATCTATCAGTTGTCCTGTCTACCATTATACATATCCTCCAATTTACCTGACCACCAGCTATCCAAAAAATTACTTTTTCACCAATTTACTTGTCTACCAATTCACCTGTCTATCGATTTACCTTTAAAAATTTAATTAAGCTCAAATTGATCCTACGTTTTAGTTAGAAAATGTTGTATGTGAGAAAGAAAAGGGCTGTTTTTAGGGTTTTCCCGGCAATTATTCGATTTTTTCCCGCCGTAAGAACCATCCTTGGACTTCAACAAAAATTTAAAAAAAAGAAACGGCCAAATTGATCCAGGCGTTGTTGAGTTATGCGCTTACCAACACATTTTGCGATTCATTTTTATATTATAGATTACTGTCTTATATAACTTACTATCTTATATATTACTATGCAAGTGCTAAACGTGTTAATATTCTCTGAAATAATTTTAACACTTGAGAAAAATTTGATTAAATTCTTAAAATAAGGACACATTTATGCAATTCAATATTATTTTGGTCATTTCTTTGCTGTGTCGACTTGTGTTATTTTCAGAGTTACATGGTTCGTGTGATATGGGAACTTAAATTTTTTTCTCTTTTCATATTATTCAGAAAATATTCATGTAAAATGATTCTTAAAAAATGTTTCATTTCGTTTTTTCAAGATATAAATTTCTATTTAATTATTTTACAATCGCTCAATATTTTACTCCAACAATAAAATTGTTTACAATTCCTAATTAACATCAATTCACGTACTTCATATCTTTTGTTTGCTTCAGTAAAGCACGGTTCGTCTCTTATACACAGGCCTACGTGTTGCTCCCCTGGTGTTGCTGTCTATTACCAGGGCGTTGGCAGCCCCAAACCATTTTTATTCACACCCCGAGAGCATAATACACCCACACGACGTGTCTGAAATCTCTGAATACTTCTCAACAGTGCCGCAGATTAAATATTAATGTTCAATATTCAAACAATACGGATTTAGAGTTTGGATCTGATAAATTTTACGAATGGAACGATTGGCGTATTGGATTAATTAGATTATTATTAAATTTAAATTATGTCAACTTTTTTGTTTATTTTTAATGGTATAATTTCTCGTAGCTTTTATGTAATACTAAGCATATTTCGAAAAATTTATTCAGTTTAGTTCATGGGCTTGCCCGTAGGTAAGCGGTTAAGAGCGACGGGATCTGAATCAGAGGTCCCGGGTTCGATACCCACTTCGAGCAGCCTGTTGTCAGGCAGCAGTGACAACTATTTTCTCTTGGAAATATAGATAGCAATATGTTTCCAAGTGAAAATAACCCTTGCTGGGCATTGCTGCACCAATAAAAAGTCAGCCCTATTAGATTAATTCTTATAACAAAAATCATCAAATATGGATGGATTAACCATTTGGTTACTATCTAAAAAATACGAGTTAAGAAGTTTCAGCCCAACATCTCATAGGACGAAAGGTTCTGATCGCTGTTAAAAAAAAAGTTTAGTTCATTCTCAGAGCCTACTTCATTATATATTTCTACATACAGATCTTTAAAACACGTTTCCTTAGTATGTATGTCAACTTTGATGAATTTTTACAACTATTATATACTGTAAAAGATTATATAAACTACTTAGGATGCATTACTTACGACTTTCTATCCTAAATATCTTCTAATTACTATACCGAATTGTATTTTGGAGTCAAACATAATTATATATTAACAATTATTAATTTAATAACTATATGGTTTTAGTTAAATACCTAGATGTGGAGCAAAATTTTATCTTTAAATTATTAGGCAAGAGGATAAATAGTTTTCCTGGGTTGTTTCCATCAAAGTATATCATATAAAAAGTTGCTATAGCAACATTTACCAAAATAATTGATAATGTTCTTTATAAATTTGGGAATCATCTTTTTATGATAAACAACCAAATATAATTATATTAAAATTAGCAATTATTTTTAACGAAATTGCTGTATGACTAAACTAGTACGACCTGCACTTTACTGTTTTTTTTTTTATATTTGCTACCGAATCATCAAATACCGAATGCTTTCTGATAAATTTCTATCTTCTAGGTAATTGTATCAGGTAAAAAGATTGTACTATGTTTTTTGGAAGATAATCAACAACCGTAATTACTGTAGTATGTTTCAACAAGTCGAAGGAAACGGAAACGGATACTGATATTTATCAACATCTACATCTACATTTTTCCATTTGAACATTCTTTGAAATACCTCGGATGTTTTGCAAAAAGATTCAATACAAATTTGACAAATATTTTAGATATAAATGATAAAATTGTAAGGCCCAGTTGTTTTTTGGTTAGCTATTATTTTGTTTCAATATAAATTATATATCACGTAAAAACGGAGTATGAATTTCGCCTTTTGACAAGTAAGCTTTATTATGAGATATGAATAACTTCTAATAATCCGTGGTTGGTTTTGTTTTGAACTTCGGCTCTGATAAGGCGTAGTCTCTTCTCTTGTGCAGATCGATCTGCACGTGTACCGGACACCGCCCCTAAAACCGCTTCAGATAGGAAAAGCGAATGGGAAATATTTCTCGGAGCGCTTTCCGCCAAGTGTGAAAACATATGTTAACGGAAATTCGATGATATGATGCTTGTACTTCGTTTTTTTTAAACGTCTTTGTCATACTTTTATGAAATATACTTGTCGTTACACTTCTAAAATACGTAATTTCTAATTTTTGGTATCTGATTTTATTCATTTTATGATTTGATAATTACTTCTGCAAACATGTTAGATCTTAGGATCTTCTAGTTTTTTTTTATTAAAAACTAGAAACGTTTATTTCTTTTACATTACAATTATAATCTTATCATTTTTCAGGGACAAGCTGTTGCTCAGTTATGCAAAAGTATAGGAGATGTTACAATTTATGGCGTATGTTCAAAGAACAAGCACGAAGCTTTAAAAGAAGGAGGTCTTATTGACCACTTATTGGACAGATCTGGAGATTATCCAGGAGAAGTGCGCAAGTGAGTTAAAATACTAATATATAAACGTTATTTATCAGTTAAATTCTTAATAAGGATTCATTCGATTTAATTGGAATTTATTGCGATGTATTTTGCTAGATTTTAAATCCAATCTTCTTTCAGGCTCTCCCCTGAGGGCGTTGATATTGTCCTAGACTCCCTCTGCGGCGAAGAATGCAATCGTGGATATGCGCTTCTCAAACCATTGGGAAAATATGTTCTTTTCGGTAAATACAATTTTTCACTCTATAATTTTTTTCTGATTGAAAGCGAACTTACATTATATTCATTTGTTTTTAGGTGCTTCCTATGCCGTCCAAAGCATCTTCAACGCTGTTAAATCTGTAAGTATAATTCTTGCATATTCTTGCATTTTTTTCTTATGGCATATTTTAATATTATTTTCTTTTTAGTGGTGGCATGTCGACAAGGTATCACCCACCAAACTTTTTGAAGAGAACAAAAGTCTTATCGGTTTCAATCTTCATCACCTTATGTTCCAACAAGGTGGTACTGCATTCGTAAGCAAAGCTATGGAAAAAGTATTCAAGTTATGGCAAGAGGGCCAAATTAAACCAGTCGTAGATTCAACTTGGGCTTTGGAAGATGTAAGTTTTTATAATTATTACTTTATTGTGTGAAATTTACGGAAATACTGATATTTTAGATTGGTGAGGCTATGCAAAAAATGTATGAACGCAAAAACGTAGGAAAAATTGTTATTGATTTATCAATGGAACCCAAACCAAAACCAGCTACACCTGTTAAAACAAAGGGAAAAGATAAGGTGAATATTATACTTTTAGATAAATATGTATTAAATACCTATTATTTTATACTACTACATATTTTTTCTGTAACAGGTTAAACAAGCATTGAGTGAAGACAAAAAAGATGATGTTAAAGCAGAAGGCGAAAAGGCTGATAAAGATAAAAATGAAGTAGCTGAAAATGGTGTTGCAAATGCTGAAGAGAAAGAATCTCAAAAACCAGTAGTGAACGGCGGTGGCGAAGGCGATGGAGGTAATAAACAATTAATTAAATAAATGCTTTATTTTTTCAAACTTGTATTGACAATATTTCTTTTGCAGAGGCTAAAGAAGTCTCAAGTTGAACTGTTTAAATTCCATGTCACTGCAAAATTTCTCCAAATCATATTGTATAAGAAGTTTTTTTAAATGATCTCTATTTTAAACTATTTTATATGTATTTTTGCTTTACTTTTATTTTTAGTCATAATGTTTATACACGATTTTTATAAGATACATTTATTATTGTTCATATTTGAAAGTTATATATGTATTTACACTTTGCATAGTTATTACTATTTTACTTCATTTCGAAATAAATGAATCAGTTTTTGTAAAAATTTTAGCTTTGTATTATATTTTAGTTGATGTTTTCTGAGGATAAATAATTGAACGCATTGCATTTATCAGCGATGCTTTGCTTGAAATATTGCTAAATATTTGCCTGTTTATCAAATTCATTGAATAATAATGTATATCCACAAGCTTACAGCCTGATTGGTTAAGATTAAGAATATATTAATGTTTGAAAGATCAATCAGAATATATTCAAATGTTATTATTATACTATGAAATAACATTATCGTATATAATAAAGTATATTTTATATGTCTATTTATAACTGCTATTAATGTAAACAACTTGTAAATTATATAACCATGTTTATGATATAATATTGAACATAACTTACCTGTTTTCTAATATGCTCATATTACATAATTAAATTTAATTGCTGAAATTTATTGGATATAATCCTGCGTAGCATAGGAAGCTTGTTAAATATTTAAATATTTATGCATACTTTAGGGTAAATTATCCGAATACAGCTATTTTAAATACTTGCATCATTTAACTTAAAATATATCAACTCTTAGATATGATAAGCTATTTTTTTTAAATGAATCTCAACTGACCAATTCAATAATTGTCTAAGCATACATGAGGCTAATATTTTTTAAAAACTATTTTCATAATACATAGTGAGTTCATAATCTGTATTTTAATATAGTCTGTATTAATATTAGTCTTTGTAAACTTTTGATTTGTTTTATAGTCTAATTATATTAAGCCATGCTCTCTCAATGGATATTTCTAATACTGTAGAGCCAATGTTTTTAATTATTTTTTATATCGACATGCTAATATTGTGTTGTTTGATTTATTGAGAGGGCAATTCTATGTATCAGGAAAAATACTATTTGCAAATTACACGAGTATGTAAACATGCCTAATTAATAATAAATGGCTGAAAAAATACTGAAGAGTTTATTTTGATATTCATTTACAAGCAAAACTCTTTCAGCTAAAGTGGAAATTAAATATAACATCTCAAGATTCTGTGGAAAACTGTTTAATAAGAAAAATTGTGAATCATTAAAAATGAGCAAGAAAATCTTAAATTAGCTTAAATTTTCTTAGGTAATATATATTCAAAAGATTTTTGTAATAAACTCATATGTTTTGAGTCTCGATTTGATTCTCCTTCAGCGGATAAAACTATGATAAATAAAACATAATATTTTAATTATATTTACTAAAATAATCAACAAAAATATTATAGAGTAGGTAACACTAATATTAAAAAATTACACAATTTTTAATAAAAAATATACATAGATAATATAAATAATAATGAATTCTTTAGTTCAAGTAGTTATTTTTCATTGTATGTTGATTTTGTGTTTTTTTTTAATCTTTCAAATAACTTTATGATTTATTCACTGAAGAAGAGTCACAAGGGACTCAGCATTTGGAAATTTATTTAAAAAAAAAAACATAATTTAGTTCGTTATTGCCTATTTAAAAACATTTTTTTTAATTTAGATACCATGTGAGAAAATTATTAATATATTATAGTAATTAAATTATTTATATATATACATATATAAATAGATTTATTATTCATTCTGACAACAAAATTAATCGATTTTTGCACAAATTTTTGTATCTTAATGATTCAAATAAAGCATAAAAACCATTTAGTGAAATTTGAATTTTGGACATGAAATTGTCCTTGCCTTGTGCAGATGGCTGCAGTGTAAATCATCATATTCTAGTAAATACTTGTAATTTTATAACCTAAAACATATGACAAATATAATATTTAAAATATATTATATAAATTATAATATAATATAATAATACAACTGAATTTATTATTAAAAATATAAAACAATGAATGATAAAGATGTTTTTGCACGTATGGACGTACAGGAAGAAGAAAATAAAAAGGTATAACAATAAAGTAATAATTAGTTTTAATTCTTATTACTGTATATATTGATATATTTACTAATTGCTTACAATAATCAGTTAAAATGATTTTAACTCAAGTTCAAGTCCCTTTGCTAATAAGCATATCAATCAATTATAAGTAAAATATTTAATATATCAATTATTATATATTATTTACAGCACCTGTACATTTTTGGTACCGATGTAGCAGCTATACCATGTTTTCGAAATAGTTTTTTATATGGAATTAGCACAGGAATTGCTGGGGGTCTAGTTACATTTCTGGGTACTTCTCGACCTCAATTTTCAACACATTGTGGATTTGGAGCCTTCATGGCTACTACGTTATGTTATTGGTTTTATTGTAGGTAAGAATTTACATCATACTTTTATAAAATGGTAAGTAAATAAATATATATATATATATATATATATATAATAAATTAAACATGTTCATTATCATTATGCATTAATAAGAATAATTAGTTTTTGTTCAAAATTTTATTTACCATTATAATGGACAACATTTTTACAACTATTTGCTTTTTAAGTCTTTATAATAACAACATGAACATTTACTTATAGCAACTCAATTACAGTTTAACTGACATTTCAAATTCTTTTTAAGTAGTATCATTTTTAATCTCATCCCAATCTAATTCGAACAAACAGGACAAAATAAATTTTCGAATATTTGTCTACATTTTTCAAAGTTTGATTATTTCACCTAATTATTGAAATCAATCATACCAGAATAGTAAATAATAAATCTGTACAAGCCATAAAAATTATAAACTCATTCATACAATGATTTATTTTCTTTTCTGGTAGTTTTGAAATCTTACGTTGATGATTCCATTGCAAATTTTGTTAGTTTGAAATATTTTTACAAGAGCTATAGATTTATTTAGCCAAGATAAAAAAGACCTATAAAACACTCCTGTTTTTATTTTTTATTTACTTGAACATATTTGTTACTTTCATCGCTAACATTTATAGATCACAAGCAACCTTTTTGAAATTCTTTAATGAATTGTGTTAATGAAAACTTACAGTTACAAATGGTCAAACAATAGATTTCAAGTTTTACAGCTTCAAAGCTTAATGAGAAAGCAAGCAGTGTTTGAAGGCACGGAATTGGAAAGAGAACTATTAGCTAAGTTAAATGAAAAACCAGATTCATGATTAAGTAATACAATTTAATAATATAATTCATAGTAAATATATTTAATATATATAAATAGAATGGTTTTATTGTATGTACAAAAATTACAAATAGTATTAGTATTGAAGAAAGTGCTAAAATGTTATTTTTGGCTTTGTAAATATTTGTGCATGTTTTAAATATTTGAATAAAATGAATGTGATTATATAAATTAAGGCAAATAAATATCTTTTAACATCTGTTATAGGAAGTATGATATTTCAATAATCATTTTTACTTATAAAAAATATATTTTATAAGTATAAAAGTGGCGTAATAAATCTCCTAGAGATAACATCTTACTAATTTTTTAATCAAAGTATTCTGCACAGGTTCAAACTATTTACAATCAAAATATATTACAAATATATAAAATCATTAACATAGTAAATGTATATAGAAATAGATATAAACAGAAACAGATTAAATTTACATTTTGAAGATATTCTTCTGATAAGTGGTAAATGATGATAATAAACAATAATTAATATCATTTTATTAATTTTAATTCTGTGTATCGTCCCCTTATTTTATGACAAATATAATTCGACGTCGAAATAACTTTAAAAAATGTTTATACATGTAAAATAATTCGATATTCAAAATTTTTCTAAATTAGAATAATTATAGATTCAAATGTGATTACAATCAATCATAATAATAAAATTTCACTTCATTCTTGAACCTCGTACTCAATATTAATATTGCTATAAAGCTTTTATGGTGAAAACAAAAATTTGCTATATTATTTTTACATTTAAATGTTTTTGTTGTTAAAACACAGATAATTCCAAGGCTAAGAATAGTTTACATAATTAGTGAGTTCGTATGATAATTATTTTAATTTTTAATAATTTCAACAATCTTTTCACTTAATTCTTGAACTCTGTAACGCTAGACAATATTAGAATTTGCTATACTTTTTACATTTATATGTTTTTGTTGTTAAAACAAAGATAATTACAAGGCTAAGAATAGTTTGCATAATTATGGAGTTCATAAGATAATTATTTTAATTTTTAATAATTTCAATAATTTTTTTCACTTGAACTCTGTAGCGCTAGATAGACAATATTAGAATTTGCTATACTTTTTACATTTATATGTTTTTGTTGTTAAAACAAAGATAATTGCAAGGCTATGAATAGTTTACATAATTATGGAGTTCATATAATAATTATTTTAATTTTTTCTTTAGCAAAATCAAAACAATTTTAAAAGTTGTGTTTTATTCATTTTTGTTATGTTGGCCAAAGTGTCTATACGTTTTAATGGCGGAAACAAAAACTGAAATAAAAAAAATTAAAAAAATAATTTATTATTTTTGAAACTCAGTGAATAACGGTGTTTTTGTTAGATTAAATTAGTGGTTTAAATTTAATTAAGTATTTTTAATTTATTGTTACTTTGTGTTTACAAATCAAAATGAATGAGGATGAATGCGGCACTGACATTATTTATTCCCCTTCCATTATCAAGTTTTGAATGCATCACAAAAACGTCTCAACACCAAAATAAGTGTCTCGTTCGGCATACCACTTTCAAATATCTCAATTGATATCGATAAACTATAAATCAGTAAGTGTATCTTGTTTATAAGGACAAACTACCAAGTTGTGTGTTATTGAAAATTATTCTGTGATTGTTTTAATATATAAATTTCTTTTAATCTGTGTTTATTGACCTATTATGGTTTTGTTATTATCTACGTAAATATGGTGGGTACAACGACCGATACTCTAGTTTTCTACGTAAATGGAAAAAAGGTAAGATGTAAACATTCAATTAGAATACTTGCTTTAGAACCCGTATGCTTATTAGAACAATATTGCATGGATATTAAATACATTCAAATTATTTGTTTTTTATATTTTAATCGAAAATTACTTTTACAACTGGTTTTGCTGCAATATTCCAGCCAATTTATCAGGGGCGTAGGGTGCCTTAGCGGGGCCCGTATCAAAACTTGTTACCCTTAAGAAGGATAGTGATTTTTTAAAAAATATAAAACATACATTAACAATCCATAATAATATTAACTTATTGAAATGTCTTGTGGCTGTGAAAGGTGCTACAGTAATTAATAATACAGGCTTTCTTATCAGCTAAGTTTAAAAATACATGTATAATTGCCTATTCTCATTTGCAAAATATTATGGATATTTTTTTGTCTTCGAAAAGTAGATATAAAGTTCATAAATATAAAAATCAGCGTTAAATATTGCGCAGCAAAATATAAATTCTCTAAATTGTTCGGCTTAAAAGTTGAAAACAGCGACCTTTTTTCTTAGATTTAGAAACTAGTGCCCAAAAAAATTTACACAAAATGTGTACACATTATTAAAATATCTGATAATTTGATGTACATATTTTTGACCGCCAATTAATATTTTTTTAACTTATTTTTATTGAGAGTCCATAACCGCTGGGCCTGCCTTCCCAAAAATTTAATCAGTTCTTTATTAGGTCGATCAATACAAGCAAAATGTTTTATGAATTGTTAAAATCGGACACTCCGTTCTCTTAAAAACTGAGATACCGTTTTTGGCATTTTTTGCCCCGTTTCTTCGGAACGGCCAGACCTGCCTTTGCCAAAAACTAATCAGCACGTCTCCTTATCAATACGAATCGAATGTTTTTTGAATTATTCAAATCGGTTGATCGGTGTTCCCGAAATCGTCGACGAAAATTTGTATTTGTATTTTTGCGATTATTAGAACCTGTCCTACGGGAAGTTAATAAAATTCAATGCGTTTCGATAACAAAAGGAAATGCTAACTGTCCCGTAATTATTTAATTTTGATCTCTGATAATCCTTGTTTGGCTTTAAAGTTTTAATCCATTATTGCTCGTTGGAGCCCCCCTGGCCCGTCGGCCCCATATAATTAATAGGGCTGATATGGCGGTAGCTACGCCCCTGATATTTATGAGGTGCAATTAATTCAATTCAACGTAATTTTCATAATATTTTGTCGCTATAATTTGTATTCTAATAATTATCTATATCGTATTATCAGTAGAATTTAAAAAATATTTTTTAAAATATTCACCGTATTTTTACCTCTAGTAGAACAATAAATCGAAATATATATAATAAATGGCCAGGGCCGGTCCTATCTTCAATGCGATGCATGCAAAAAATGTTGAACGCACGCCTTAGGGGGCGCCAAAACGAGATTTGGATACGAAATTTATAATAAAGTTTTTTTCTATATCATTCAAGAAGTATATGTTTTTTGGATCTTTTACTAATCTTGGATAATATTTTTTAAATTTAACTTCAAAACAACAATCTGATACATGGTGGTAAAGTAGATGAATACATGCACTTCGGCCCTTACGTTATCAATTAGGAGAAGTTTACGATGCAATTTTGGATATTTTAAAATATTAAAAATTAAAATAAAATAATCCAACATCCAAGTACTAGTGCTATGTTTACTAATGAGGGACTACTTTTTTTTGCTCTTTATGATTTGCTTAACAGATTAAATCGCACAAAATCCCCAAAATAAACAGGTAAAACGTTTCAAAACCCAAATGATAATATTACACATGCGTTAGAATTAAATGAAAAAAATTGGCATTAGCTGTAAATGGCAATATAATATTTATCCCGTCCCCACTTTTAAAATCATCTACAATAAAACCCTATAAAGACGATTTTACAGGAACAGGGTCATAAACGCGTCTTAAGCGAGAAAGTATCTTATACGCGATATGAAAAATATATTATGTTTGAAAGTGCAGAGCTCCTCGTAAAGCAGCGTATTATACGAGAAATCTTATTAAGCTTTATCGTATTAGCGGAATTCTATGGTATATATTTAATTGGATATCATGTCAAAAACTATTTACTCAAATTACTGTTTCCTTTCGGATTAATATAGTTAATTGGTAAATATAATACATTTAGGAATTGTGAATGTAAATATCATAGATAAACAAGTATAAATGGCAAATATAAAGCATGCATAACAAATTATTATAATATAAATAGTTTTGTATTGCTATTTTGTATTTTTATCATTGCTTGGTTGATTGTATTCCAATAATGCAAGGTCTTGAAATTCTATGAATATGTTTTTATTGTTTAACAATTTTTTTTAATTTATTTTTAACATCCACTGATAATGACATAAAATTTTATGTCAAACCGGATTTTTTTTATTATTATTGTTTCTACAGCAATCAGAACTCTTACTTAACATGTTCTATAAGCCGTTTGTTGAAGATTTATGACCTAACGTATTTTAAGAGAGACAACCCATCGGTTTACCATTCTCTCATGTGTGGGGTTTACTCTTACGAATCCACTCACATTTATATAAATATATATTTTTACCTCATGTCAATAATTATTTGCATGGGGTTGAAAAAAATTACTTAGGCTTATATGATTTTCGTATTCTAGGGAACTTTGTTCAAGAAACCATTCCTCTAAAATGAATTTTGATGTCTACAGCACTCTAAATGGGTCAAAACAAAATTTTTCAAAATTTAAACCATTGGATCAATCCATAAAACATCAGAATTCATTTTAGAGGTATGGACATGAACATTTTCATGGAGAAAGTTTCTTATTTTGATCCTTCGGATCCGAATATCATTTTAACGCGATTTTTAACTTCCCGTAGGATAGTTATAGTAATGGGCCGAAAATGGAAAATGAAAATTTTAGCATATCTTCACGTTTCGGAGGTTTCTGAACATTTTGGCATACCTCAGAAAAAATAGATGGGTGTGTGTGGGTCGAATATCTTTGCAAATCATTGACTAAATTGCGCTTTATAAAATTTAGAAAACAAATAATTATCAAACACTTTTGCTTTTTATGTGAAATTTCACATATAAATTCCTCCAATAGTCTTTCATTAAATTAATTTTTATATTTACTTAATGTGCTAAATTTATCACATAATGAAGATATGTTTTATTATCAATATATTACAATTGATTTTTTGCAGTACAGACTGAAGAGTATTGACTATAATTATTCTAATTTCTTATTACTTAATACCTAAAAAAATTATGCTAAAATTATGTGGCATTTATTAACATAAAGAAAAGCTGGTATAGACTCAATTATCAAAACTTGAAATTAAATGCAAATGTAAATGTCCAATAATTGGCAAACTCGTGAAGTGCATACGTTTTTCTGCCACTATTTTAAGTTAAAGTCTTGATTAACAAAAATAAATTATAACAAAAAAAAAACTATTTTAAGTTGTAATAAATTAGTCAATTTTATGTTCCAAATAAAATGCCCATAGAACTATTTACATAAACATCTTGTAGTTAAAAAAGTTTAAAAATCATGTAAAATTAACAGTTTTGAATAAAAATAATATTTATTTATTATTAAAATTACTGGCTTAAATAAACAGGAAATAGGACAATTATGTAATATTTTAAATATACGCAGTGATATATATTTTTTTATTGGCTTCTATTTCTATTATCTATATTGGCTTCTATTTACATCTTTACGTTCCAAAGGTTTCTGAATATTTTGGCATACCTTAGAAAAAATGGATGTATGTGTGTGTGTGTGCGGATACAAATTTTCGTCGACAATTTCGGTAACACCGATCAACCGATTTGAATAATTCAAAAAACATTCGATTCGTATTGATAAAGAGACATGCTGATTAGTTTTTCGGCAAGGCAGGTCTAGCCGTTCCGAAGATACGGGGTAAAAAGTGCCAAAAACGGTCACTCAGTTTTTAAGAGAACGGAGCGTCCGATTTTAATAATTTAAAAATCATTTTACTTGTATTGACAACATGAAAAACTGATTAAATTTTTGGAAAAGGCAGGTCCACCTGTTAAAGTCTTTCGATAAAAAAAAAGTTAAAAAAAGTGTCATTTGGCGGTCAAAAATGTTTATTGGATATATGTACATCAAATTATCAGATATTTTATAGATTTTAATAATGTGTACATATTTTGTGTAATTTTATTTGGGTTCCGTATCAAGATTTTTAATTACGGTACGGGAAGTTCCAGCAATTTTCCTTAAGGCACGATTACACGCCCCCCTCTAGTTTTCTATATACAATCAAACCTAATTTTTACAAATGAATGAATGAATGAATGAATAAGAATGTTCAATGAACCCATTCAAATAATGTGTTTACTATTAACACGTTGACGGACAGTAGGAACAAGCGAAGTTCGAAAATTGACACTATATGTTTTTGTGAATTTTAGAATGTTAGAAGTATAGTTTTACTCTTTCTGCTTAAATAAACTTAATTTTGATTAATTTAGTACCTTTAATTAGGTTGCGGCTATAACAGCAAAAATTTAAAAACGTAAATGACAGGTTTAATGGTTCAAACAAGCAATTTTTGTATGCAACAAAGTATTTTTGGGAGTTTTACACGAAATGTTAGTTCTTAATCAAACAAAAATAAATAAATGACAAAAAAATTTATTATAATTTTATAATTATTATACATTATTTTCAGTATGCCATGTTTCAAAGCATGGTGCAGGACACAGTGCAGGTTTTGACATGCAATTCTTGCAGCAATATGATGTTTCCTTCCTTATTCCCTGTTTATAACATTGTTTACAACGCTGAAAATATGTTTTTCGCTGATAATTTTCAGGAGGTAAAATCTTCTCAGGAAAATGCTGTGTTCCATTGTTGTTGATTTCATTGGTTTGGATTTGTGCACGTTTAAATTGAACCAAAGTTCTTCCATCCCGTTCATTATCTATACCAGTTAGAGATCGTATGATTGCTTCCCTGTACTCTATATACTTCATTTGAGAACCTGTCTTTTCTTTAAAGATGTAGAAAGAATTCCATACTGCTACATCCAGTAGATGAAAGATTACCTTTTCTGTTTAAAGTATAAAATGAATAATAAACAAATACATACCAGTATAGTTATATAAATAATAATAAATATCGTTAAACGTATCAATAAGAACTATAAATTCAATAGAAAACACGATCGCACTACTCCATTCACAACCATGTGCATACTGAATCTGCAACTCGTATAACAGGTGAAATAATATATGAACTTCAACCTAAAAAGATGTTTTCAAAACACGACACTATGCTTCTACGTATACGCCAGTAAGTGCACATTTGTGCTGCTATAGCCGTAGTGTCTAAAAACGACCGCTTCGTTTTGGACGGCTATAGCAGTCATGCCACATTGTGAACTTCACTTTGACGGCTATAGCCGCAATTGTCCGTCAACGTGTTAATATAAAGTATTATTTTATTTATCATATATTTATTATATGGAACTTTTAACACATGGCATTTTTCCATTAAGAAGTATATAATACGTAATTTTACATTTTGTCCTAATTAAAATACGTAATTTTGCATTAAATTGCATTAAAATATGAAGATGTTTGTTAATAAACTGATAAGGGAATTGCATACAATCGTGATAAGATATCAGGTCAAATATACAGAGCAAATATTCCGTATATACATTTAATTCGCAGAAATTTTGCGAAATAATAATTTATTGCGTTTTCTTATCAAATTGCGTTTTCTTATTCAATATTAAATATGGTTTGTTATGCACCAATAATAATTAGACCATAATATTTAAATATATATTGAAATTAACAGTCATTATTATAATTACTTATACAATTAGAATTCCGGAATTTGAATCTGATCAGATCTATTGTAATCAATTCGTTTGATTTATCTGTTATTATTATTTTTGGTTCTGGTGTTATGAAATAAATACGTGAAAAATAAGTTTAACATTGAGATTAATAGAGGATATAATTTACTTCATTGAAGTTCCGGGTTTAAATAAATTCTTATATTTATACAGTATATATGCATAGTTAATTAAAAGATAGTTGAAAATCATTTCACCAAAAGATTTAAATTAAAATTTACAATGAGATTATTAAATTTTGATTTTTTTTAGTAATCTCAGTAGTATATATTATTGCTTCCTATATTCTGAAAAAAAGATAGATTATTAATGAAAGTTTTTGAATATCAAGATAATCTTAATCAAAACATATTTTTTTTCGAAGTCTTGGAACAACATCGATGTTGCGCAATTTTTGAATTTAAATTTGCATTTTCTGTTTTCATTATTTTTGTCGGGATGTGATACCCGACTTGGACAGTCTGATATCAAGTAGCATTGATAACGATTTTTATTTAAAAATATAGATAGAAAATGTTTCCAAATAAAAATAGCCCCCACCGACACTGGTGCATCAATGAAAAAGTTCATCAATATTAAAAAAATTGTAATAATAAATTCATCAAGATCCTGATAAACGATCTAGTTTTAATCCAAACTAGCTGTAAGTGGAATTCTGTCTTAAGGCAATTAGGGCATCGTGCCTTAAGGCAAATTGCTGGAACTTCCCGTACCAAAAATTATTTTTTTTTAAAACGATTAACATTTTTGAAAAAAAATTACTTTGAAAAAATAAGATTTTTGAGAAACTATAAATTGGACAAAAAATTAGTTTTTTTAAAAAAAAAAAATTTTTTTTAAAAATTTTTTTTGAAAAAATATTTTTTTTTTGAAAAAAAATTTTTTTTTCTTTATTTTGACATATTGTGGAAGATCTGAACTTTTTTTCAAAGCAATCGTACTGCTTTAACTACATAGGGACAAAATATAAAGCGCGTAAGCGCCGCGTCGCTGTCTAACGCATAAGTATTGGTACGAAACCGATAGGAATGTTAACAAAATGTATACTTATTGTTAAAATCTCTACAAAATGTCTTATAATTTGATGTGCATATGTCTAATGATCATTTTTGACCGCCAAATGGCTCATTTTTTTACTTTTTCCTCTATATCTCCGAAACCGCTGGACCTACCTTCATGAAAGTTGTATCGATTCTTCATCTTGTCAATACAAATAAAATGTTTTTTGAATTATTAAAATCGGACGCTCCGTTCTCTTAAAAACTGAGTTACCGTTTTCGGAACTTTTTGCCCCGTATCTTCGGAACGGCTTGACCTGCCTTTGCCAAAAACTAATCAGCACGTCTCCTTATCAATACGGATCGAATGCTTTTTGAATTATTCAAATCGGTTGATCCGTGTTCCCGAAATCGTCGACGAAAATTTGTATCCGCACATACATACACACACATACATACATACATACATACACACACACATACACACACACACACACACACACACACACATACATCCATTTTTTCTAAGGTATGCCAAAATGTTCAGAAACCTCTGAAACGTAAAGATATATAAAAATTTTCATTTTCGATTTTTTTGCGATTACTATAACTTGCCCTACGGGAAGTTAATTATTACAACAACCCATATATATACATACATATATACCATATATATACATACATATATAAAAAGTCGAGAATCGATCTAAGAATTCATTACATGACCAAAATAAGAATCATTATGTAAGATATTTTGATATTTTATTCCATAAATTTTCGAAAAAAAATTCGATTTATTTTATGGACTTTAACTTTAGCAAACTCAAAAATTGTTTAATTTAAATTGGCATGCAATCATATTCATTTCCCCCCTGAGAACCATTTCAGTTTTTATCTTATTTTATTAAAACGCAATAAATACGTTATCATCAATTGTGATACAAAATTACTATGTAATCAGATAATACTTATGTGATTTATATTTTGTGATAATCAAAAATTTATAATCAGTATTATCTTTATAATTCAAGATATTTTGGACTATATATTAATAACTTTAACAAGTCTTATTAGAATGATTTTTGATGATAAATGTGAATGTAATTTTCCAATCAACAATTATCATTTCCGATTTTACGTAATAATATTTGCGAATTTTTAAAATCTATTACTTTCGACGGAAACGGGTGAGGTTGACGGAAACATGAATAGTTAGACAATTATATTATAAATTTCTGGTTTAATTTAAATTTCTTGGGTTTGGTGTTAGTTTTATCAAGATAAGTTGCGTCAATGGGTTAATATTATGACCTTGTTTTTAAGCAGATAGTATTTGAATGTTGATTTATTGCTTTCATATGATAATTCATGTTAATTCAGAACACTTACGTATTTGCATAAAGGGCTGTATAAGTTTGGACCTTCTACTAATTAAAATTCAAAATTGAAGTATTGACTAAACAATTAATATTTTTATGTATTTTTTTATTATATTTTTCAACAGCAATCAAAAGCTTACGTATTATAAGCTGTTGGGCTGAAACTTCTCCTTCCTTCGTATTTTTTAGATGGTAATCCAATGGTTAATTCATCCATATTTGATGATTTTTGTTATTAGAATTAATCTAATAGGGCTGACTTTTTATTGGTGCAGTAATGCCGGGCAAGGGCTATTTTCACTTGGAAACATATTGCTATCTATATTTCCAAGTGAAAATCGTTGTCACTGCTGCCTGACAACAGGCTGCTCGAAGTGGGTATTGAACCCGGCACCTCAGATTCAGGTCCCGTCGCTCTTAACCGCTTACCTACGGGCGAGCCCTTTATGTAAATTATTGAGATAATATTTGCTTATGACCTTATGATAATAGGTAATAGATCCATCACCAGATCCAGAATGGACTTTACTACGATATCTTCGGGAAAAGCTTCGATTATGCGGAACGAAATTAGGCTGTGCCGAAGGAGGATGTGGCGCTTGTACTGTCATGGTGTCTAAATATGACCGAAAACGTGATAAAGTCATGTATCCTTGTTCACTTAGGCTCAAAAATTGAATTAAACTTCCAAAATTCTCATTAATGATCAAATAATTTGATTTTTCTACCAGATCATTCAGGACACAGTAAAGAGGCATGTTTTTTTACCAATGTGTTTTGAGAGATATTATTTAATTTTATGACAATAACCATATATATTATTTAAAATTTTTAAATATCTGTCTAAATTATATAAATACCACAAATGTTAGGCACGCCTTCTATACGAAATCTCTATTTGAATAATTGCAGTAATTATTACAATTATTGACTAAAGACTTTTTTAGCTTATCCTGAATTAACCCAATAATTATGATTTTTGCTTACTATATTGTCATCATTTCTTGATAGTACTTGCAAAAAAGAACATCTTACCGTTTTTATCTGCTAATTTTTCCTTAAATTCATGTATCAGTCATTTAGCCGTAAATGCCTGCCTGGCTCCAGTTTGCTCCATGCACGGCTTAGCCGTTGTCACTGTCGAAGGAATTGGCAGCACCCGCACCAGACTCCATCCAGTGCAGGAGCGAATAGCCAAAGCTCACGGATCACAATGCGGGTTTTGCACACCTGGAATAGTTATGTCCATGTACGCGCTGCTTAGAAATTCATCCCTACCTTCAATGAAAGACATGGAAGTCGCTTTCCAAGGCAATTTATGCAGGTGTACAGGATACAGACCGATAATAGAAGGATATAAAACTTTTACTAAAGAGTTTTCTGGAACCTGCTCGATGGGAGAAAATTGCTGCAAAAATATTAAAAATGGTGTCAATGGTACATCGGATGGTACAAATGGTTTGAATGGAACCAATGGAATCAATGGAGTCAACGGAACCAACGGTACGAACGGGATTAATGGTTCTATCAGTTCCGACGAGGTACTATTTGAACCAGTAAGTTTACTCCATTAGACCCTACCCAGGAGCCAATATTTCCCCCAGAATTAAAACTCTCTGACTCACTCGACAAAGTCTCGGTAACTTTTAGGAATCCAGTAGTGACCTGGTATCGACCTACCACATTATACGAATTATTAAAAATAAAGGATGAGCATAACGATGCTAAAATTATTGTTGGCAATACAGAAGTAGGCGTCGAGGTCAAGTTTAAACATTGCGTTTATCCGGTACTGGTGTTACCAAATCAAATTCCTGAAATGACTAATATTGAAGACCTAGGAAGTACAATAATGGTTGGCGCCTCAGTCACTCTATGCGATATGGAAGAATATTTAAGAAATGAAATTGACACAAAACCCGAACATGAAACGAGAATATTCAAGGCGATCGTTGAGATGTTGCAATATTTTGCTGGAAAACAAATTAGGAACGTAGCAGCAGTTGGTGGCAATATAATGACAGGTAGTCCAATTTCTGATTTGTGCCCAATTTCACCGCATCTGGAATTGCTCTGGAAGTGCAAAGCTTGAAACGCGGAAGAAGGCTTGTGAATATGGGTGAAGGATTTTTCACTGGATATCGACGGAACATTGTAGCACCTGATGAAGTTTTGATTAATATTCGAATACCTCGCACTACAAAAGATCAATTCTTTATTGCTTATAAACAATCGAAGCGTAGAGAAGATGATATAGCTATTGTAAATGGGGCTTTTGATATTACATTTGAACCTAGGACTACGATAGTGCAAAAAGCGAATTTAGCTTATGGAGGGATGGCGCCTACAGTAGCCATAGCAAAAAAAGCACAAGAGTATTTGATCGGGAAAGAGTGGAATGCCGATATATTAGAAGGTGTTTACGAAAGATTGATTGAGGATCTACCTTTAGCTGATAGTGCTCCTGGTGGCACGATAATGTATCGTCGTTCTTTGACATTAAGTTTATTCTTTAAAGCTTTTCTGCACATCAGCCAAATTTTAGAATTAGATGTTCCAGATACCGAAAAAAGTGGTGCACATTTGTTTAAAGGCCACATTCCAAAAAGTTCGCAATTTTATGAGTTACCACCTCCAGGGCAGGTTACACGTGATCCAGTAGGTAGACCCAAAGTTCATGTTTCGGCGTTTAAGCAAGCGACAGGGGAAGCTGTATATTGTGATGACATACCTCGTTATGATCAAGAATTATACCTTGGCTTGGTGCTCAGTACGAAAGCCAATGCACGTATAAAATCAATAGATCCGAAACCTGCTTTAGATATGCCTGGGGTGCACGGATATTTCAGTGCTAAGGATCTAACAAAACATCAAAATACAGTCGGACCAATAATTCAAGATGAAGAATTATTCAGAACAGAAACAGTTACATGCCAAGGTCAAATTATAGGATGCATAGCTGCTGATGATCAATTATTAGCACAACGAGCTGCTAGAAGTGTTAAGATCGAATACGAAGATGAAAAGCCACCTATAATAACTATCGAAGATGCTATTAAACATAATAGTTTCTTCCCAGGTTACCCTAAAAAAATTGAGAAAGGTGACATAGATAAAGCATTTGCTGAAGCTTATGGTATTGTTGAAGGGCATTGTAGAATGGGTGGACAGGAACACTTTTATCTAGAAACTCATGCTGCTCTAGCTGTTCCTAAACCAGAAGATGAAGAATTAGAATTGTTTTGTTCATCACAGCATCCGTCTGAAATTCAGGTAATTATTTAATAAAGATATGAAATTATTTTTAAAGTGTGCATATTACTTGCAATCAGGCATTTAAGAATAGAATAATATTTTCAATTTGCTTATAAATTTTGTTCGGTTGAATAATAAAGCATTAATTTTTCATACATATTTTATGGATTGTTTTAAAAATATAATGGATTTTAAAACCATTTAATAATAATAATGGTAAAAAATCCAATTATTATTAATTGTGAACTTTAATATAAATTCCGGCCGACGATATGTGTAGTTTACTTACTTTTGGCTCAAAATCATGGTTCAAACTTCAAATTTCCATCAGTTTTATTTTCGTTGTCGCATTATTTGCATAGTTTTTTTTATATATTACAGAAATGTAGTTTATTATGTAAAACAGGAAAAACATGTCTTATGAAATGCTACCTATGAGTTTGTCTAATTACAATTTGCACTGACATTCTATTACAGCACATGGTTTCACATTTGCTCGACATTCCAAGCAACCGTATTACGGTGCGGGTCAAGCGCATGGGCGGCGGATTTGGTGGTAAGGAATCAAGGGCGATGATGGTGTCCCTTCCTGTTTGTTTAGCCGCTTCTAAATTGCGCAGACCTGTTCGACTTATGCTTGATAGAGACGAGGACATGGCTATATCTGGCACGAGACATCCATTCCTTTGCAAATATAAAGCTTCTTATAATAAAGATGGCAAGATTACGGCGTGCGATATTAAAATTTATAATAATGGAGGTTATTCCATGGATTTGTCTTGCTCGGTAAGTTTGAAAGTACCCGTGTATTTACTAATAACCGTTCAGTTTTTCATGTGAATTATTCAGATTCATTTACCATTTTTATTATTTTTTACTACCAGGTTCTTGAACGTGCTATGTTCCATTTTGAAAATTCCTACTTCATTCCGATAGTTCGTGTTCATGCCTGGGTGTGCCGTACAAATTTACCTTCTAATACAGCCTTTCGTGGCTTCGGTGGCCCCCAAGGTATGTTTGCAGGTGAACATATAGTGCGTCAGGTGGCCCATGCGTTACGCCGTGATTATATTGAGGTAATGCGCTTAAACCTCTACACTGAAAAGCAACTAACTCATTACAACCAATGCTGGAATACTGCAGATTACAAATGTGCTGGGATGAATGTCTCAAAAACGCGAATTTTGATCGAAGGCGATCCCAAATCGCCGAATTTAACAAAACGAACCGTTGGAGAAAACGTGGTATTAGTGTTGTACCAACAAGTTTGGTATTGCTTTCACAGCATTATTTTTAAATCAAGCTGGTGCGTTGTTACATATTTATAAAGATGGGTCCGTACTCCTTTCTCACGGTGGAACAGAAATGGGCCAAGGGTTACATACAAAGATGATACAAGTTGCTGCACGGGCTTTAGATATTTCACCAGATTTGATACATATTTCTGAAACTTCAACCGACAAAGTTCCCAATACATCAGCCACAGCTGCTAGCGCTGGATCAGATCTTAATGGGATGGCTGTTTTAGACGCTTGTAACAAAATTAACGATCGTTTATCCGTTTATAAAAAATCCATGCCCGATAAAGATTGGTTCGCTTGGATAGCACAGCATACATGGATCGAGTAGGGCTTTCAGCAACTGGCTTCTACGCGACCCCAAATATTGGTTATGATTTTGCGACCAATTCAGGAAATCCCTTCAACTATTTTACATATGGAGTGGCTTGCAGTGAAGTAGAAATTGATTGCCTGACAGGTGACCATCAGGTGGTTCGTACAGATATCGTGATGGATTTGGGATCGAGTATCAATCCTGCGATTGATATCGGTCAAGTTGAAGGAGGTTTTATGCAAGGGTACGGATTATTCACTATCGAAGAGATGATCTATTCCCCGCAAGGTATGGTGATGTCAAGAGGACCTGGTGTTTATAAGTTGCCTGGTTTTGGAGATATTCCAACAGTGTTTAACGTATCGCTTCTGAAAGGAGCTCCGAACCCTAGGGCTGTATATTCTTCAAAGGTAATGTTATTCAATTTTCTACATATTCATTAATGGAGAAATCTAACATTATTTAATCGTTCAGGCTGTTGGAGAGCCTCCTCTATTTTTGGCGTCTTCCATATTCTTTGCCATAAAAGAAGCTATTTCAGCTGCTCGGAGTGATTCTGGTTTGAACGAATATTTCTATTTAGAATCTCCTGCAACTGCAGCAAGAATACGCATGGCTTGTCAAGATAACATAACTCGCAAGGTACCAATTTTTCTAACGCTATGGATTTTTATAATTTATCAAGGTTTTTATTAATAATATCCTATATTTTTTTAATAGTTTGTAGCAGCAAAGGAAGGTTCGTTTACACCTTGGAACGTTGTGCCATAAATATAAAAGTAACAAAATTTAATTTTATTTAGAACGTAGTATATACGTAGTCAAATACATTACCAATTTAATTTAATTATTAGAGTATTGATATTATGATAGATTTATTTAGACCATGTGCATTTTCACATGGAAGCCATATTATATGTGATTATGATAATTTTATATGTAATATATATTTATAATTATAGATTTTTTCAAATTGATATTAAATAGTACGTTTTTTATATATTAAATACAAATACACAAGTTACCTTCTAAATAAAATGCTATACTTGAAAATTAGAAATTTATTTCTTCTGAAAATGAAACATTAAACGGTCACGATCATTGCTAATGAGGGAAAAGGAAATCAGGTACACAGTTTTGAACTTTACATTCACACCCTTTAATTTTTCGGCCAACTCTTCTAGTCGATTCTGATCTCATGCTGGGAGTTAAAATTCCACAGAATTTTCGAATTGAATTATTTCGACTTGTTTATTTTTATGACGTTCCATAAATTCTATAGCGGCTGTGTAAAAAAAAGTTTACATATTACTTTACTTAAAAACGACAAATTTCATTCCCCTTTATATTACCTTTCAACCTAAATTTATAAGTAATTTTTCCTTTGATTATGTACTGGGCAATTGTTTTACTATGTTGCATGTTAAGTTTGTTAGCTACAGACTTCTGGCGAGTTCTTCAGGAGCGCTTCTTCTTTAAATGTTAAATCTTTGTTGCTCTGAAAGTCAAGTTAGAAATTTTGTTCAAAGATGTTAAAAATCTTGAATTAAAGTAAACTAAAATATATTACAGTTTTTGTTATTTCTTTTCTAAGCGCCATGAACGTGTTGAAAACTTTATGGGAATCCAATCCTGAATGTTTTAATCGTTCATCGAGTTTCTAAAAAAGGTTAAGCATATAATAAGAATATACAAATTCAAATTATGATTTAAAGTGATTATTCATACCTCATATGAAGACATAGCTTTTCTTGAAACTTGTCCGGTTTCCATAAATGTAATCAGATTTAAAAAACTATCGAGAATTCCATCATTTTCGATTCTTCGGTTCACAATTGCTTCCACCAACCTGAGAAAATATTGTTTGACGTGGGGAAAACATCTCGTCTAAAATCAAAGTAAAAACTTGATAATAAATTGCACAATACAGGTAACTTGTATTTTTAGACCACCATATTATTTATTTAAAGAATGAGAAA